TGGTCCTGCATAGATAACTATGGCCTCCACGATTTCACTCAGCAAGAGCTTCACAATTCACAAGTCATTCCCTCAGAAGTTGCAAATATATGTGGTCTTACGTACCTCATCAAACATTTCGAAGATATCAATACTCGGTTGATGTATGGTACAGACAACGGTTCGGCCGGTTTTGACAGTGTTTCTGACGGCGCGCATGACCACCGCCGCAGCTCTTGCATCCAATCCCGATGTTGGTTCATCCATAAAAATGATGGACGGATTCGCAACAAGCTCCACTGCAATTGTCAGCCGCTTCCTCTGCTCGGTGGAAAGCCCGTTGACCCCAGGAAGGCCAACAAGACCATTCTGGACGGGAGTGAGCTCCACAAGATTTAAGACTTCTTGAACAAACATCTGCAGTTAATCCAGCCACCATTACGAGAATGAAAAGAACAATAAGACCACGCAAAAATTACCTTTCTGGTTCTGCTGTCAATCTCTTGAGACAGACGAAGCCATGCCGAGTAAGTAACTGATTCTCTTACTGTCACATATGGGGAGTGAATATCATTTTGCTCGCAGTATCCAGAGATTCGAGCAAACGTCTCTTGCTTTTTGGGAAACCCGGAGATATTGATGCTTCCCTCGATGTAACCACCTGTCTTTCTGCCTGCAAGGACGTCCATCAACGTTGTCTTTCCAGCACCACTCACGCCAACGAGTGCCGTAAGAACTCCTGGTCGGAAGGCTCCAGTAATGTCTTGTAGCAGCTGCAGCTTGTCGTCAGACACTCCTTGCTTCTTCATTTCCTGTTTTGCAATCCAGAATATGCGTCAAAACAAAAGGAAAATTCTTAAATGCACTCATACCAAAGGCATGTCAACGTAATAGTTGACATGGGAGAAAGAAATTGACAGGGGAGGAAACGGCAGCACCATCCCTGTTTTAGTTGCCAATGCCATTTCCATCCCTTCCACTGCTCACAGGTAAAGTGTCAACGAAAAGAAGAACAATGGAAAATCGTACCGCTATCCCAGGTTTTACTGGCCTCGGAGAACTGAAATGTCTTTGTCTTTAGTCTTTTCTTCCGAAATAGCTCCC